ATGTAATGCCAGGAAAAGCAATAAACTGCAACCCAGGAGCCCCTTGGATCTACTTCCCCCTCAAATGGTTGGAAACATCTCTGATTTTTTATTTCTTTTTTAAAAAATTTAATTAATTTACTTTTTACAAAATTCTTCATCTTGTGCATTTTTTTCACCTTGGTTGTAATCAACATGGACTTCCCACCACCAATTCACCTGTGTGCCATCACCATGGTACTCTTCCTACTCTAGTTTTGATCCTATACCCCTTTCTGGGGTATAGGTTGTTCATTGTTTTTCATTTTTACTTTATTACAATTGCTTTTTTTTTTTCCTGATCCTTTATGCTCCTGCTATGAGTGACACCATTAGTTAGTTTTCTTTTTCTTTCTGGGTTATTTCACTAAGCATGATCTCTTCCAGCACCATCCATGTTGCTGTAAAAGGTGCTGAGTAATATTCCATGGTGTATATGTACCACATCTTTTTAATCCAGTCATCTATTTTTGGGCATTTGGGTTAATTCCACATCCTTCCTATTGTAAATTTCCTATTGTAAACATGGGGATGCAGGTATTCTTTTGAATCAATGTTTTTGTGTCCTTTGGGTAGAAACCTAGGAGTGGAATTACTGGCTCATCATATATAACTCTATTTTTAGCAGTTTGAGAAACCTCCACACAACTTTTCATAGTAGTCGTTCCAGTTTGCATTCCTACCAGCAGTGTAGAAGAGTTCCCTTTTTTCCATATCCTCATGAACATTTGTTGCTAGTTGTTTCAATATGTGCCATTCTCACTGGTGTGAGATGGTACCTCATTGTGGTTTCAATTTGCATTTCCCTTATTACTAGTGATAGTGAACATTTTTTCATATGCTTGTTGGCCATCTGCTTTTCCTCTTTATCTCTTCTGCTCATTTTTTGATGGGGTTGTTCACTGTATTTTTGTTGTGTTTCATCAGCTCTTTGTATATCTCTGTGACCAGTTCTTTGTCATTAATATTTGTGCAAACATTTTCACCCAAACAATGGGTTGTCTCTTTGTTTTGTGTAATGTCTCTTTTGCTGTACAGAAGCTCTTTAACTTGATGTAGTCCCAGCTGTTTATCCTTTCCTTCACTATCCTTGCTCTGGGTGTTGTATCTTTAAAGATGTTATTGAGGTGTATGTCATGTAGCATTTGTCCACCTTTTCTTCTAGATATTTTATGGTTTTAGGTATTAGGTCTGGTTCTTTAATCCATTTCGAGCTTTTTTTTTTTTTTCTCACATGGTGAGAGGTAGTAATCTAGCTTCATTTTTTTTTTTTTTTTGGTATAGCAGCCCAGCTTTCCCAGCACCATTTGTTGAATAAACTTTCTTTGTTCTATTGCATATTCTTTGCTCCTTTGTCAAAGATTAGCTGTCCATAAACATGGGGTTAATATCTGGGTTTTCTATTTGCATCCACTGTTCTGTATGATTATTCTTGTTCCAGTACCATGCAGTTTTATTATTATGGCTTTTTTTTTTTTTAAAGATTTATTTATTCATACAGAACTGGGGCACAGGCCAGAGATGCGGAGGGTGAGAGGATTCACCAGAGACAGAGTGGGGAGCAGAACAGGCAGATCGACGAAGTACACTGCTGAGGGGAGCAGCGGGCGGGTCAGGAGAGGTCTGCCACGCCATGTGGTCACCTCCGGGGCAGGCGGGGATCGAACTCATGCGGAAGTGGCTTTGACTTCTTTAGTGCTGTGCTTTAACCCACTGCGCCACCAGGGAGGGCCTATTATGGCTTTTTAATATAGCTTGAAGTCTGGGACTGTGATGTCTCCACTCTCTTTTGTTTTAGTCAGGAGGGTTTTGGCTCCATATAAATCTCATCAATATTTGTTCTATTTCTTTGAAGAATGCCATTGAGATTTTTATTGGAATAGTGTCAAATCTGTATATCACTTTTGGTAGGATGGCCATCTCAATGATGTTAATTCTTCCAATCCATGAGCAGGGGATGTCTTTCCATTTTTTTTGTGTCTTCTTGTATTTATTTCAACAGTGTTTTAAAATTTTATTTGTATAGGTCTTTTATTTCTTTTGTTAGGTTTATTCCCAAGCATTTGATGTTTTTGCTTTTTTGTGTGTGTGTGTTTTTTGATTTCCACTTCTTCTGATTGGTTGTTTGCATAAACTTACAAAGGAGAAAGCAAAACTAGATGTCTTTTGGGCTTTCTATGGTTCTAATGTCCAATGTGTTAAAGTAGTTAGGGCACAACCAAAATGTCACACTCTCAGCTCAAGCAGCCCAGGTTTTCCTTAATAGCAGGAAAGTCCAAAGACTTTCTCAGATGTAACATTACCTTGATTCTATCAATCTGCAGGGCCTCAAATATCAACCTGTGCTCTTCCCTGATCTGGGGCTACCACTCTTTGGAGGTAGATTAAGGAGGTGGAGAGTAACTATGGGTTCTAACTCTCCAGAAATGGACCCTAAGCTGATATTTGCCTCCCATGGGGATACGTATCTTCCTTTCCTGGAGTGTGAGGGCCAGGAGTAAGTCCCCTGTAATCAGCAATCCCCTGGTCTGGTTACAGAAATTCTGTTCATTCTACATGTCTTTCTTTTTTATCCATATTGCATGGAAAGACTTGCAGATTTGCTTCCTTGACTCACTCAATGATGTTTCTCTCCCCTTAACTTCCTGAAGTCAACACAGAAAGCACTTCACACTGCTAAGTATCCACCAACTCAAAACTTTGTTGGAAGAACTTTTGCTTGTTAGAACCCATGCCTAAATATATTACTCTTCTGGAATCCCATTTTTTTAAAAAGATTTATTTATTTATTCATACAGAACTGGGGTACAGGCCAGAGATGCGGAGGGTGAGAGGGTTCACCAGG